TGTGTTGTTTTTTAAAAATACCTATTGTCTTCATATAAATTTTATCTAAATTCCTCGAGGTTTCTTCAATGTATTCCTTGTGGCAATCATCACAGATGATAGAGTAAATTCCTTCTTCAAGTTTTAGCTTATTATTTTTATGTCGTATTAAGTCATTTATTGTTTTAGAAGTAGTCGTTGTAACAAATTTTTGTTAAGCTGAGATAAACTCTTTTCAATTGTAGCTGTGGTAGAGATGGAGATATATTTTGATTCGTTATTTTGTTAGAAATTTTTGTATTAATGAAATATTTTACGAGTTTTTTGTTTCGCGTTAAATATGAAATAATCATGGCATTGTAGGATCTTATACATAATTTATCTCTTGAAAATATATTTTCAATTGAGCACTGTTGAATACCTAATTGTAAAAACAACAACCACCCGAGTTAATGCAAAGCTCTTCATTAAAATGAATGGAGCACTCCGGTTGTTGGGCATTTGTTTACATTTGTAAAAACAATACGCTAAATTTGGCTGGCTCATTCTGTCGAGTGAAGATAGCTCACTGGTAGGAATTCTGACTGACACCAAATTGGTTGGGCTTCAATCGTGGCTTGAGGCATTCGGATGTCTAGTCACACTGAAGAGCTGTGATACAGCGAAACAGTACTGTCTGCGAATGACATATATATATATATATATATATATATATATATATATATATATATATATATATATATATTAACTGATTTAAAATATGGTTCCTTCGCTAAGCAGGAATTACCATGTTTCAAAAACTGAAGCTAAAAACTTCAAATTTAATTATATAATTAAATTAAAAGCATTAGTTCTGTTTCATCTTCAAGTGAATTTTTGGGGAAAAAATGAAATATGGTAATACCTGTGTAGCGAAAGAACCATGTTTTAAACTAGTTAATTTATAATATTTATGCTCTGTAAATTTACATTGAGCAGAGTTTTGTAAAAATAAAAATATCAATAAGAACACCAGATTATATATCTTACTCTTCTTTCTTTTTACTATAATATATATATATATATATATATATATATATATATATTAAGAATTTGGGCAAATGATCCTGACAGAGTTATACATTAAATGGCAATTGGAAAAAAAGTTCATCAAAGTATAAATTTTCAAAAAATATTCGAATATGTCGTGCGCATGCGTAGTCGCACCAACATAAATTTAGTCCAATGAAGTCCTGAAAGACGAAAGGCGTCATAAGTAAACTCTTTCCATTTTGTCAATTTCCTTAATATTGTTTTTGATTTACAGTGTGCGGTCGATAAATTGTCGTCTAAATTACGCAAAACTGAAAATAAGAGTAACAGCTCATTTTAACAGATATGTTTTCCAAAATTATACAAAAATATCTTGGAATACTAAAGAGTAAATTTATTCAATAAAATTGCCATTGGCCTCAACCAGGGCGTCTAAACGATTTCGGAATCTCCTTCAACTCTTCTGGGCGGTCCCCTTGTTTAAGTTGATGAATGCTTCCATAATCCTTGCCTTTGGTTCATCTTTGATGTTACGGGGAGTTTTGTTGACCTCTCGTTCAACTGAGTCCCACACATAATAATAAAGGGGGTTGCAGTTTGGAGAGTTAAATGGCCACATGTAAAGGAGGATGAGATCGCAGATATTGTCCGACAACGATGAATGGGATCTCCTGCTTGTGTGACATGGTGAAGAGACCTGTTGCCAGACATAGTTTCTTCCAGAATTTACCCTTTTGACCCAGAGTAGCATTACCTCCTCAAGGCGCTTGATGTAAACCTTTGTTTTGAGTCTGAGGCCTTGTGGGAAGATGAATAGAGGTATAACGTCGAAATCACTATTGATCACTCCAAACCATCGTAATCACCATTAGCCTCATCCAACTCTTTCCGAATTCTTTGCACTGTTCTCAGATTGATAACCAAGCACTTTGAAATGTCCGTATTGGAGCTTCCGGTACGAATGCCAAGCATTGCAGCACGCTGTTTCCGAATTTTAGGAATTCTGTGATATAGTTGGATTAGTAATCGCGGCTAGCTAAGTTGAAGATAAGACAGATTGAAGACCAGCCTTCCACTATCTCCCCACCCCATTTAGCCTCGTGCCACATTTTTTTAATATTATTACTTTCATAAACCTCTCCTTATAAACTCAGTCATTCGCTCACCCATCGGTGAAATTAACTCTGTGATTGTAGTAACGAAAGACACCTTCCATTTTATCGTAGTTTCAATTCAACACTGGTACAAAAGATAAGGCCAGATATCACACGATTTCAAGCTTAAACCAATCTTTCGGTCTCTCTCTGATACACACACACACACACACACACACATACACGCACACACACATACACGCACACACACATACGCACACACATATACATATACACGCGCACGCACACATATACATATATATATATATACGTTTGTCATTTTATGACACAAATTTTTTTTTTCGACCAAAGAAAGGACATCTTTTTTAAATGTTTACCCAGAAACCTTGTCAGCTTGTAATTTACAGAGAAACATTTACTGAAAGAGATTATTTTGAAAACGCGTAGATTATTTCAAAAGCAAAAGACGTTACTGAAAGATCTCAATCACTTGTTTTCTGCTGCTACTCAAACTTAAAGCTCTACAAAGAAAAATATACCCGAAATATTTCAACATACATTTGTACCTTCTTTAACTCTTAATTATTTGTTGTGTTTTAACAAAAGTTAATTTTTTTTTGTTTTACTTTTGTAATGTTAAATATCGTGAAGTTAAATGCAACTACAAGGCCGAATTCCGCTTAGAATGAAGATCTCCACAAGAGCATTTATTTCCATTACCAAGTTTATATTCAATAAAGTGTCGTTTGGACGTTATAAACAACATTACAAAAATGACTTCATGTCAAAAGATACGAGTGAATCTCACTAAATTACAAACTACAATCAAAATACCTTGTAATAAACACAAGCCGAAGAGAGTAGATAACAAGATAAGCTACACTTGAAAATGTTACTCTTTTTCTTTTCCTTTTTTTAAAAATCATTTCACCCCCAGTAAGGTGGGAATGCCTCTAGTAAGCAGGGGCTTACAGAGAGTGAATGAGAGACTGGGTATAGAAGGGAGCGGGGAAAGGATAAAAGCTAAATGGGGTTCAAGAAGATAGAAGATGACGATGCACGTTTCAATTTTTGAAGGTTGTAGTTATCAGGGAAGCAAAGAAACGGAGAGGAATTCCACAGGCGAGAAGTGCGAGAAAATAACCTCTTGGAGTAGAAATGGCGGTTACATTTACCTAATTCAACAGTAAAAGGGTGCGACTTAGATGCCTATCTTGAAGAACGCTTGAATAAACGTAATCCGGGCACTAGGCAAAAAGCTTACCAGTGCTGTATCCATGAAAATATTTGTAGACACGACAGAGAGAAACCACGCCATGTTGGTGAGAAAATGACTGAAGTCGATATGTCAGTTCAGGTTCGAATTCATTGCAGACCCTTCTTTGGATTTTGTCAAGAACCTCGAGATGAATAGCAGGAGTATCTGACTAGATATGACAAAAATATTCAATGCACGAACGAATGATTGATTTGTCAATGTGTCAAATGGACTCTGACGATAAAAAAAAACTTCTGGCACGACACTGTGAGCCAAATGTCCCTTCAGTAGATGCAGCTGTTGATTTGATGTAGCCGTTTCACTTCAAGTTGAGAACGTGAAGCCAAGAAATCCTAGTCTGTTGCTTTCCATGAGTCTATTATCAGCCAAGCTGATGGTGGACAGGAACGTTTAACTATGGTCATTAAATAAAAGCAGTTCGTTTTGGAGGCATTAAAATTTACGAGTCATTTCTTGCCACAAATAACCACGGATTGGAGATCCTTTTAACGAACATCAACCAGGTTGACTTTTACGGATTTGCTCTTGAGACAGGATTAAATGGTAGTGTCATCAGCATAAATGCCTACTTGGGAACTGGTGACATCAAAGAGATCATTGATGAAGATAAGAAGCAGCGTAGGACCTAAGTTAGACCCTTGGAAGACACCCGCGTTCTGCAAAAGGATCTGGAAGCGAGCCTGTTCAAAACGACCTTCATTTCACGATTTGATAGAAACGATTGGATTAAATCAAACACTCGTCCAATAATACTGTAGCCCTTGAGCTTACATAGAAGACAAAAACACCGTCAAACGTCTTCGAGAAAGCCATAGCCATACCGTGATATCATAGAGCTTTGCCGTTATCATCAAGAGCTTAATATACATATTCACCGGTAGATCTGACAAAACAGAAGCATATTGTTTGTCAGAGAGTAGGTCGTGCGAAGTAAGATGCTTAACCATGTCAGCATTGATTAAATCGTCGAATACTTTGCAGAAAAGTGTGATAGAGGATTCAAATGTTCTCCGAGGTTCTTAAAAACAGGAACTACGGAGGAGGACTTCCAACAAGCAGGAAAGAATGAAGCAGCGAGAGAACAGAGTTTGGAGAGAACTGGAGCCAGCTCTGGTGCCAGCTCTGGTGCCAGCTCTGGAGCCAGCTCTGGTGCCAGATCTGGTGCCAGCTCTGGAGCCAGCTCTGGAGCCAGCTCTGGAGTACATTTCTTTAGGACGACGGCTGGCATCCCGTCATCCCCGCTTGCTTTATGGTAGTCTAATTTAGAAATAATGTCTGAGACCAGTGACGGGGTTATGAACATATCAATCAGTAGCGCCTCTGTTCCAGGAGGGAAATAAGGTGTGGGTACTCCAAATGGGTCGAGTGTTGAGTTGGAAGAGAATTACCGAGAATAGTATTAAACCTTATCTGCTGTTGATATCATGATTTCGAATTGAGGAGGGATGGAGGATTTGCTGTTGTTCAGCACTGGTTACAAACAGAGACAAAGAGACGTCTGTTGAAATCACTCGTGTCGCTATGCTACAGACTGAAAGAAGTGATTCCTGTAGACTATAGTGGCCGCGCATAAAGGTAAGAACCAAGGAGATGAATACGGAAACACCGGTTCTCGTACGATCACCGAAGTTAAACAACGTTGAAGCTGGTCAGTAACTTGATGAGTGACTGATTGGGAGTACCAGGTGCTGTAAGATTGAATTTGCGAGTATTGTAATGACAAATGGCTCGGAATTGTTAATCGGAGAACTGAGTGCAAATTTCCGTTGGGTTCATTATATTCGCTGGGGGAAAGGTAGGACTCTACCATGTTTACCCCTTGCTATGGGTTAATTAGTAAGAATTCTATCACTAATGTATTATTATCTTCAAAAATCATTATTACAATCTAAACATATTTCCTGGCTTTAAATAAAGTACAAAAGGCTAATAAGCCGTTGAAAATGATCCACTTAATTAATTATTTGACTGCCTAAACGAGCTGAGAGGGAGACAATTCAAAGGCTTCTTTGGGTTTCTCATTGGTATAGACAGTAGTTCATTTTCTTTTTTGCGATATCATAAATTTAAAATGATATCAGCATATTTGGTCATATTTAATAAAAAAAATATAGAACTTCATTAAAATATTATTCCTGTTCTGTCTATATTTCTGAGATGAGGTATTATGTACACTATTTACATTGTCCGGACTATCATCCTCATCTTTGTTGGCATATTCATCACAAAGTTTCGGCTGTTGTACGCTCCGGTCTTCTTCAGGTGGTTGGAATGTTGAACTGAACCCTTTATTTCGCTCGCTGGGAGATAACTGACAACTGGTATCCATTAAACATGGCAAGTGGAACTAGAACAGTCTACCCCAGCGAGCGAAATAAAGGGTTCAGTTCGACATTCCAACCACCTGAAAAAGGCCGGAACGTACAACGGCCGAAACGTTGGGATAAATATGGCAGCAAAGATGAGGATGATAGTCCGAACAATATAAATAGTTCTTGTTGTTTAAATTATTTTTTCATATCCTTGATTTAAAATTCCTTTTCGTAAATTTCTGAAATTAATAATTTACTATTTCCAATCTTATAAAAAAAAAACATTTCTAACATTCGAAATATCACTTTACTTTCTATATTTTACGTTGCCTAAAAAATAATTTCCGGGGAAATTTCACTTAAATTATGACTGTTGAAACATTTCAAGAACAGTGTGAGGATATTCATAGATGGAATGCGACAAGAGGACGTCATAATACGGAGTGGCTTTGGTGGCAGCTTTCCCCCTCTTCAAAGTACCTACTCACAAACACAAGGCTCACGAGCACATGGTTTCCGCTACTTATTTCTACTGTTCAACATTGACGACAAAACTCCTTTCAGATGCATTCAGTAGAATCGTAGTTTCAACAAAAGTAGTAAAAACTTTCTGCTATGAAAATATTTATGGAACGATTTATGATCTTCATCCCCCGTCTTCTTTCCTGGAACAAAGAATCCAGCAGGCACTGTTGTGGATTTCCCTAATGCAAACAAGTCCCACTATCAAACTGGCGTGGTCAGTCGTACAACAATGCTTCAAATATTTCTGGACGCTATACTGGATTGCAGACATCGAATCATCAACTGAATGAGATTGCATCTATGTTCCCTGTGCTGGACACAGGTTGATCTTGGTGGGAGTAGAGGCTGAAGAGTTTTTGTCTACAAACTGTTAAATTCTTTCACTTTGTTTAGCGTCCATATTCATTTTTCTCTGCTTCTACACATCGACGGAATATTTTCGGTTCAAGGGAAGTTGCGTACTGGATATTTGCGTTCGAGACAATTGAGTCCCTGTATATTTGCGTCCCTAGCCAAAATGCGTCCCTGGATATTTGTGTCCCTGGATAACTGCGTAACTGTGATCATTTTTTTGAAGCTTTTAAATGCAAATTAACTTAAATTTTGAAAATAGCATAAATAGTAATCATAAATTTTTAAAAAAAGGAATAATTTAAAAAAAATTAAAAGCTTATTTTTCTTTCAAATACAGTGACAGATTAACTATTGCAAGATCGCTCAAAATATCGCCAAAGTGTTTTTGTTTCATCGGTGTTTTTCATATGATGGTGGTAGCTGTAATTTTCCTCGTCCATCAATAATTTGTCACCAGTGTTTGATTTTTGGTACTTAGCCATGGATCCCAAATAAAAATATAATCTATACAATGCAGAATCTATTAGATGTTTTTGGTACGCACTATTGGAGTGAACTGAAACTTAATTTAGTCTTGCTTTATAAAAGAGATTTTTCTCTCTCTCTCTTTTTTTTCATTTATGGTAACTACCTTTCCGCTTGTTTAGTGTAATTAATAGTATTGTTGTGCAAATATCTATATTAAACAATTCTTTAAAAAGATATAACTTCAAAAAAGTATCAGAATATCAGATATGCCGCTAAACAACGAAGTCAACTAACCAATCAAAATCATTTATATATTAGTTTTGGTGTTTTTCAAGTCTCGTGTTATGTCGTTCAAAAATTTGTGTTGATTAACTTTTGCTGTACAGCATATTTTTTTATATTTTTTGCTGATTTACTTGATTTGGTTTGGTTTGGTTTGTTTTACGGCATATCAATCTCAATGGGTTATTTAATGCCGACAATTTTTATTGCTGGTAATATTTTTTCGTTCAAACCTCTATTTCTGGTAATATTTTTCCTCCAAAAATCTATTTCCGGTAATATTTTTTCCTCCAAAAATCTATATCTGGTAATAGTTTTTCCACCAAAAATCTATTTCTGGTAATAGTTTTTCCTCCAAAAATCTATTTCTGGTAATAGTTTTTCCTCCAACCATCTATTTCTGGTAATAGTTTTTCCTCCAAAAATCTATTTCTGGTAATAGTTTTTCCTCCAACCATCTATTTCTGGTAATAGTTTTTCCTCCAAAAATCTATTTCTGGTAATAGTTTTTCTTCAAAAATGTATCGCTTGTAATACATTTTTTTAAAAATCTATCGCTGGTAATATTTTTTAAAAAAATGTAAATCTGGTAGTTTTCTTTTTTCTTTGCTTTTTTTTTTACAAAAATATGTAGCTGGTATTTTTTTAAATATTTTTTTCCAAAATAATATTGCTGGTAATATTATTTTTTTCTAAAATGTATTGCTTGTAATAATGTATTGCTGGTAATGATGTTTTTCTTCAAAAAATTATTGCTGGTAGTATTTTTATAGAGTATTTCTGGTATTAAAACCTATTTTTACACTTTCATAGGGGTTCGACTCCAGATTGAGGTTAACTATTTGCCTATAGCTGAAACCCTAACAGGTGTTACCACCCTGGATCAGGGCGGACCTGAAAACACCAGCATTTAATAGATAGATCCACACTCCTCAGAACCTCCTGATCAGAAGCCTTGCTGTTGGACATAGTTTATCGTCTTAAGCAAGACGCAAATGAAGTTTATCGTCATACACAGGACGGGATTTAGTTGGAAGTAACACTGCAATAAATATGTTTAATTTTATCGACCATCTACATTTTTTATTCCTGTAGGTGGTTGTGTAGGTAGCACTTCTTATCATCCTTTGTACCCATCCATTAAAATCATTAACTAGATTCTTCTTCTTTCTATTCCTTATTTTGCCTTCAAAATGATCTGGGTGTGTCAAATTCCCTAAGCCTTCTTTCAGTATTATGTGACCCAGAAATTCAAGCTATCCATTTCTAGTAATTAATAGTTGTTTACTTGTCGCATTTTTCCTCGTTGTTTAATTAAAATTCAGAACTTTTTTATGTCTGTTAGATTTTCATGTCTCAATAATGTGTTTAGCTTCTAAGAGCCCTTACTATATGTATCTGTGTATATTTTCTATGTCCTTATATCTAAATATTGCGTGTATTTAGGCAGTAAATGTTCCTTAAAGCAAATGTTATTAAAGGCAAATGTCGATTCATTTGATTGATTGACTTTTGCAAATGGGTGGTGTTGTGTCTATACATACGCATTTGTATGTTGAAATTCAAAGATTGGAAGTGTAGCGAAAATTTCTCGTGAATGTATACATGTCAACAATCAGAGTATTTTTCTATTTTTTCGCTGAATAATATTTCCTCGCATGCACGTATATACGTGTGGTGGGGTCTGTGTAAAATTATGATAGGTAAAAATTGCTATTATTTTTAATTTTTAAAAATTCATTTGTTATTATTTTAAAGCTGGTTATTTGCTTGTTTTTGATGACTGTGTATATGTAACTGGTACAAATTGCAGTTTGTAATCCTTATTGGTTATTTTTATGGTGGTATTAAATATGCTGGGGAGGGGGTAGTTTACGTTAATAATTATGATGGGTTTATATGATAATAGTAGATGTGATGTGATAGTAATGTTGTAGGGGGGTTGGTGACAATGATAATATAAGTAGCTAATAGTTATTGTAAATTGGTGGAAGTGATTAGTAACGGTGGTGTGAGAATGATATAAACAATAAATGTAATTATTGTGGTGGTAGCTTGAAAATTAAAAATTAAAAATAAAAATTATAGAAATTTTTAACTATCATAATTTTACACAGAATACCTATTATCAGGATTTATACCAAAATAAATTAATACATATAACAAAATAAAATAAAACACCAACAATCACTTTTTAGTTAAAAAAAAACAGTATTTAATTACAACCGCAAATAAATACTTAACAAAAACAAAGAAGTAAAAGTCAACCAAAGAGAATTAACCATTTTAGTGAATATCTTCTTAATAGCGCAGCTCGGCTTTTAAATCCTCAATTAAAACCTAAATCATCGACGCAAAATAATTCACACTAATTCGACTTGATAGTTCCACTCAATAATCACCTGGCGGTAAACATATTCATATATCCAGAGTGTCACGTTCGAACCTCGCTGTCGGCAGTTACTCTTCCTGTACGATGGAAATTGTCCAAAGTTTATTATGGAAGAAATATCGTTCAAGCTTTTAACGTTCTTAACTCAGATAAGTAAAAAGCAAATGGTGAGTTTCGTAGAATTAGTGAATGTAATGACGTGGGCAAAGTGGGTTGTTTTTATATACAAATGATTGTTTTTGCTGTATGACTATTGCTTCGAGGATCGTAAGTCAGTTTTTACTTTTTGATTTTACTAGTAGTTTGGTATTGTTTGTGAGTAGTAGTCTAATATACGTGTGTGTTTTTTTGTTTTTTGTAT